AACCCAGAAAACAACCACTACAAACCAAAGCTCACAACCCCCACAAACCCAGCCTCATCTCTGATTTTTAAGACCACCCAGGAGACAAGATTGAAGAAAGATTACCCCATGTTTGGAGGAGGATGTTGCTAGGAAGCTTCCTCATGTTCACATTCATTGCATTGTGAATTATTGCCCCCTTTCCCCTGTCTATATAAATCAGGCCCTATGGCCAAATGTAACACATCTTTTGAATATTAAAAACTCCTTTTACTCTTTGAGTATTTATAAAATAGTGTGATGCTATTTTAGCCAAATCCCTAATTCTATATCTTAAGAGTGGTTATCTTAAGTGTGAGTTTTAGGTTCTAGATATTTAAATAAGTGTGTAATATCTTATTTAAATTCTAGATTCAAACCCCAAGTTAGGCTAAGAGTGTGTAATATCTCTTAAACACCAACTTGGTTTATCCATCCCTGATTTTTCTTCCATTTCATATCCCCCCCATTTGTCATCTTAATCTCACTCTTTTCTTCCAATTAAAATACCCAAAAGAACTCCCTCATCAACTCCATATATTTCCAGTCCATTCCCCCACAAAAAACACCCTTCTTCCTGCCCAGAATTCTGCCAAATAATCGATTATCTGCCAAATAATCGATTATCAATCCCATTGGAAACACCTGCAGGGCTCAATAATCGATTATCCCTTTAAGATAATCGACTATCAGCTTCCCCAGAAATTCTGCAGCTTTCAGTAATCGATTGTCACTTTGTGTAAATCGATTATCTCCTGCTCCAGAGCCCTGAACTAAAGCTGAATCATTCCTTGATTCCTCATCAAAATAGCCACTCGTTTAGACCCCCGGTTCGGGTATAACAATAGAGTTCGTCCAACATATCTTCAAGCCTAGGTATCGGATACCTATACTTGATGGTGATTTTGTTTATCGAACGACTATCACAACACATCCTCCAAGTACCGTTCTTTTTAGGTACCAAGAGAGCCGGGACAATGCATGGACTTAAGCTCTCTCTAATGAATCCTTTGGTAAGCAACTCATCCACTTGTCGTTGGATCTCCTTGGTTTCTTCGGGGTTCATACGGTAGGCGGGCTTGTTAGGGAGGGCAGCCCCTGGAATCAGATCGATCTTATGTTGTATGTCCTGTTTTGGAGGAAGACCATGAGGGATATCATCGGGAAAGACTTGGGAATATTGTTGGATGAGGTGTTCGGCTAAGGGATGGATAGAAGGAGGGGCAGGGGCTGGTTCGGCCTCAAGGGTGTCAAGGAGAATGAACTCTTTGTGATGTTTGTATTCGTGTTGTTCGGAGTGGAGTATGGTAGAGAGGAGGATGGGGGGATCTTCTTTGGGTGGTGGGGTGGCCGAATGAGTGGCAGGGGGTAGGGAAGTAAGGGTGATCTTCTTCTTATTCATGAGGAATGAATAAGTGTTGGCGAACCCTTCATGAAAAACTTTGCGATCAAAGAGCAAAGGTCTGCCCAAGAGAATATGGCAAGCATCCATGGGTATAATGTTACACCATATCTCATCGGTGTAGCTTTTCCCGATGCTTAATGAGACCAAGCTTCGTGAATCCACACGCAATCCTTTTCCGTGATTCAACCATTGGATTGTGTATGGCTTAGGATGGGGTGAGGTTTTGAGCTTTAGTTTTTCAATCAACATTTTGGAAGCGACGTTGGTACAACTTCCGCTACCTACGATCAACGTGCACACCTTCTTTTGGATGGTACAACGGGTGTGGAAGATATTTTCCCGCTGTATTTGTTCGTCCAGGGCTGCCATACTGCTCAAAGCTCTTCGGATTACTAGGAGCTCTCCTTCATCCGCACCAATGTATTCTTCTTCTCCTAGCTCTTCTTCGGCCCATGAAGGACTGATTTCTTCTTCTTCATACTCTACGATGGCCATGATCTTTTTGTTGGGACACTCATTGGCATAGTGTCCTGTCCCTTGACATCGGAAGCATTTTGGGGTTCGGGTATTGGTGGGGTTGGTTTTTGGAGGTGGCGGGTTGGATGATGAAGGGGTGGAGGTTGGTTTTGAAGAGGAGTTTTGGAGAGTGGAGGGTGTTTTGGACGTGGAGGGGGGCTGTTTGGTGTAGGGGGGTGGCCGTACGAAAGAGTTTCGACTTCTCTTTATTTGCGCTTCAACTTTAAGCGCAAGTTTAGCTAATGAGGGTATTTAGCCCGAAAAGATATCGGACTAGGGTTTGAGAATCATCTTCTTGAAGGTCACATCTTATCAAAAGTTCTTCGAACTCCCGGGTATAGTCTTCCATAGAGCGGCTCCCTTGCCTTAGGCTTTGAAGCCTAGCAAAATTTTCTCAAACATACTGGTCCGGGAGAAACATCTTCTTCATTAGGCTCCTCATCTTGAGCCAAGTCTTTACAGGTGCCTTTCCTTCGCGTCTTCTTTTGGAGGTCAGGTTTGACCATCAAGTCGAAGCATACTTTCGTAGCTTCAAAGCAACTAATTTCACCTTCTTTTCTTCGGGAACATCCTTGAAATCGAAGACACGTTCCACGGTTTCTAGCCATTCTAGAAACTCATCGAGATCATTCTTTCCTTCGAAGGTCGGGATGTCAACCTTGAAGTCACTAGTTCCTTTGTCACAAGAGCTTCCATTAGTGATGTTGCTAGAGTTTCCAGTAGCTTGGACTCCCTCATCTAGTTCTTCATCACTTTCTTCGGGTGTGTCCAGCATTGTCATCTTCATCTTCGTACGTTGAGCCACTTGCTTGGCTAGGTACTCAACTTGAGCCTTAAGGACTGCATTAGAGGCTTGGATCTCTTCATTGGACATGGTTTGAGATTGGTTTGACATGGTGAAAGGAGATGGCCGAAAATAGGGAAAAGAGAAAGGGAAAGGGGAAGAGTGTTCTTGGTCCTTAGAGATGTGGAAAGAACAAGCTCTGATACGAAATGATAGGCACCAACTCCAAGGTAGAGAGGCACGAATGGAAGCAAGGTAGAGGGAGGAAATTATAAGGCTATATTGATGAGGTTTTGTGCAAGGAATGGAGGATTTTAAGGAAGGAAAGACTAGGGACGAAAAATTGGCAGTGGGGAAGGAATATTTTTAGGCTTTTGTTTAAGTGGAGAAGTGGAGAGAAAGGTGATATTAAGGTGATGGTGGGGAGCAGGCCGAAGATAAGGGAGAAGGGAGGGTGAATAGCAGCTTAATATTTTCTTTGGGATGGATAAACCAAGTTGGTGTTAAAGAGATATTACAAACTCTTATCCTCACTTGGGGTTCAATCTAGAATTTAATTAAGATATAACACACTTAACCAAATATCTAGAACCTAACACTCACACTTAAGGAAACCAACCTTAAGATATAGAAATTAGGATTTAAAATAACAAACACAATGGTTTATTACTTAGAAATGAAAGGGATACAATCTTCCTTCAAATGAGGCCTATGGCCGAAATAAATAACAAGGGAAAGGGAGAAATCACAAGCTTTGTTCCTTAATCAAATCACCAAAATATGACTTAATATGATGTGCCTTAATGGAATGAAATAAGAGTGGATGGTAGTGTTTGTGGGGCTTGGGTATTTCGGCCAGTAGTAGGGGGAAGGAGTGAGGAAGCTAGATTATGTTTTTGAGAAGATGTTTGGGGATTTGAGTGGGGGTGTGGTTCGGCCAT